TGTACCACGACCACACAGAAGACAGGCATCAAATGGGAGCAATTTCGAGTACAATCTGATGTGTGTGGTGCCGGAGGCCTAAATTTACTCCCTTTCTCTTCCCACCATTTTCTTGAAAGCAAAGGAAGGGAAGGAAAAGTGGATTTAAGAGTGAAGGAGAGGCATATGATAGAGAAATATCCTCTTTATGTGCATCTACTTGTCAGTTAATTAAGGGTAGGCAATGCATTCGCTATTATGAATGTTTATGTGTAGCGATCACTTCGTTTTGGTGAATTCAGGTGGCCACTTGCATTGCTATTAAAAAGAATACTTACCCATAGTTTATTATCTATGAAATATGCTTCATGTAACTCGACAACATTCGGATGTCTGCATTCGCTGAGGATGTCAATCTCCACAGTGAAGTCTGCGAGGTCATCTTCATTATCTAAGACACACATCTTGGCAGCGGCGAGCTGGCCGGTTGTCTTGTGCTGGGCTTTGTACACCTGGAATAGATTTAAATAATTATTTTTAATTACGATATGGCGACTTCGTACATGTGAAATTGTATAGTAAAAAATATAGCCTATGTTCAGTGATAACGTAGCTTTTTAATGATGTAAGAATTTGAAATCGGCCTAGTAGTTTTTGAGTTTTGCAGTACAGACAAAAACTACAAATCTTTCCTTTTTATAATATTAGTATAGATTTATAACAAGCTGTCGTCCGAAAAAACTCAAAAACTACTGGGCCGATTTTAAAATTCTTTCACTGTTAGAAAGGTAATTAGAGTAACGTAGACAATATTTTGTTTACTATTTTTAACTTCACGAGGACAAAGTCGCGAGCAACAGCAAGTCTAAAATATTCACTAAAATACTCCCTTAGCGACCAATTAACGATTCTTTAAGATAGCAAAATCATCATCTTCCTTCTTATCCTACTCCCGTAGTGGCCGCAACAGGTTTGTCCGCCACATTACTCTATCATACGCCATCTCAGTCACTCTTTCTCGGTCTCCCTCTACCGTTGTTTGTACTCTTTCACACTCAAATCTAACGTTCTTCTCTTATTACTTGTCATTCATCCGTGCCCTCCTTAGTATAGCGAAAATATTTTAAAATAGTGACGGCTAACTCGAGTTCGTAACTCGAGTTCGAAAACCGAGCCGACATGGAGCGAATTTTGAGATTTCTGTGAAGTTAGCCCCCTTACTTACATTGCTTTTTTTACTTTTTTATGCTAATCGTTTAAAAATTGTTAGAGAGGTTTTGAGAGAAAAAAAATTGTTTAAGAGTTCCTCCGTAAAAGTAATTTAAATTTTTAACGTGAAATTGGCCCCCACACTTCATTTTTAAAAAAAATTTCGCATGGAAATCGCTAGAGAATCGTTGTGAAAAAGACTGCTATATAACATCAGTTTAATTGACAGTAAACTTTATTTTTATTTAAATTCAAGCCAAAAATACTTGAAAAAAGATTAGATTTCAAACAATAACTTTTTTTGTTTCTTTATTTAGTAGGTATAACTCTCCCAATACATTATAAATAAATAATATAAAAAAATAAAGAATTGAAACAGATAAAAATATAATTTGTCTATTCCAATTTTATGCCAAGCAGAGGGAATTATTTGGAAAAACTCAAAAAAACATTTACTTGTCCATCCATTTAACTCGAGTTCAACCAAAGTTATGTTATATTCAACTCGAGTTACGTTTTTCCCGAGTTGGCACATCACTATATTATTGACCGACTTCCCAAAAGAAGGAGGTATTCAATTCGTCGGTATATTTTTTTTTTATGTGTGTTACGGCATAACTCCGCCGCTAGTGGACCGATTTGGATAATTCTTTTTTGACCGACTTCCCAAAAGAAGGAGGTACTCAATTCGTCTGTATGTTTTTTTTTTTATTTTTTTTTATGTGTGTTACGGCATAACTCCGCCGCTAGTGGACCGATTTCGATAATTCATTTTTTTAAAATAAAAGATCTTTCAAAAATTAGGGGTCAGTAAGGTTTGGCCCGCCAAATGCGTAACATTCGGTGACGGACTTCACACAGTCGCGTGATTAATCGAATCATCATTCCCCGTTAAACCTTTAGAAAGATCGACTTACGAAAAACGGTTTGTTCGAGCCCACAACAAGGCTGAGGAACTTGAAATCGCCATTTAATATACTAGTAACGCCATCTGTTATCGATGTTGGAAAACTGAAGTCTTCAATTTTGTTTTATCTCTAACTAGTTGTTCTCGCGACTTCGAAATTACAAAATAATAAAAAACATATGCTGTGTTACTCACAAATAAATTACTTTTGTAATGGTAATAGAATTTTTAAAATCGGCCTAGTAATTTATGAGTTATTTCAATAATTACAAAAATACAAATCTTTCCTCTTTATAAAATTATTGTGTATATTATCGAGGAATCTGGCCTTCGATTTTTTAATCTATACTAGTACTATAAAAAGGAAAGAATTGTATTTTTGTACGCATTGTAATAATTCAAAAAGTACTGGACCAATTTCAAAAATTGCAGCATTAAAAAGCTATGTTATCATTGAGTAACATAGGCTATACTTTTAACATTTTTTTAATTACACGTGGGCGAAATCGCGAGCAACTGCTAATTAACCATAATATACCTAGTCGGGTTACAAAGTATCTGAATTCACAATCATACAATAACATGTGAATTTAATTCGTTACCTTGCCGAATGCGCCATCGCCGAGTTCTCCTATCATGTCCCAGTGCTCGTTGGGGTCGCTGTTGTCGCGGATGTTACTAAATACCTTTTTCTTTTTTGCGTCATTTCCGCTACCAAGGTGCAGCACCTGGAATGTTACAATTTGACCGAATTAATTTTCTATTCAATAATCTTTTTTGTATGTATTAACTTGTAACGTTTTCTACTGAAAACTGCACTAATATTATATACTAGCTTTCGCCCGCAATTCCGTCCGCTAGAGTTAAAAAAAAAAAAAAACAAAAGTAAGTAGCCTATGTGTTCTTCCAGACTATCCACAACATCCATACTAAGTTTCATCGAAATCCGTTCATCTGATTAGGCTACAAACTCTAACAAACATCAATCCATCTAAACTTTCGCATTTATAATATTAGTATGAAGTATGATATACAAAAAAATATGATCGAAATGTCTATATCCGTGTAGGGAGTTCTGTCTTTATAATATGTCAAGTCAAAAAACAAAAGCTGGTCATTCACAGTTGTACTAAGTTATTAAATTTGTCTCTGGTACAAAAAAAGTACAGTCAGGTATAGGTTTTCTATTTCAGGACATCTACTGCCAAAAGTACATATTATTTCATATAAAAATGACTTGAATTAAATATAACATTATATCTACATCAAGAAAAGGATCTTGTGTTACTTTTGATGGTGACAGATGGCGGTAATGTGCTGTAATAAGCCCCCACCAGGTCAAACATGCTTGTCGGTCTATACTTGCTATGTTTGAGGAAGTTTGAAAGTAGTGTCAGTGGTGGAGAAATTGAGAAGCAAAAAGTTAGCGTGGTATGGACATGTTAAGCGACGAGACGATGGGGACATAAACCAGAAAGTGTTAAGAATGAATGTGGATGGCTACAAAGGAAGAGGAAGACCGAAGACAGTGGATAGATTGCGTGAAAGATGATATGCTTAAGAAGGGAGTGGATTCAGATATGACGGCTGATAGAGATGTATTGTTAGGAATAAAATTGGTACCGTGCTATAGAATTGGCGCAACTCTAGATTATCGGCACGTCCCTAGCTGACAGCTGTCAATGTCACTAGAAGTATGGATAGATTGGCGCGTAACATGAGTCTTGACGAGAAGTATTGCTCTGAGTTAAAAGCGACAGTATCAATTAAATAAATTGTCTAATAGTATGGAGCAGCACGTTCTGTGCCGACCTTACGTAGGGATAAGGGCAAGTTGATGATGATACTGTATTTTATTAATGGGGATGTTTCCTAATTTTTGGAATTACTTTTATTATGTAGATAAACCGTATCTGAATATGAAATAAAATATAATAAAATCATATACGCAACATTTCATTACAAAAACACTTAACTAAAAACAACTTCTCCAAAGACCGCGAAAACGCCTCATGACGTCACTTTCTTGTTTACAAACCTCGCGTCGCGGTCTGTCAAATTTGAATATTAGCTACTCAAATAACTTTTACTATTTTTTTCGTCATATTGATCGAAAATTTGCTCGTTAAATATGTCGTAAATATAAAAACACTTAATAATGGAGTCCTCATAATATAACACACGAAAACTCAATTCTTATAATCATTTAAAAAAATATATAACTACAAAATGCACTGACATTTACTGAAGTTGGTCACACTGCCATGTTATATACGAGAAAGTGACGTCATTGGTGTTTGAGATCGAGTAATGGTGGGTAAAAAATATTGCAACGTTTTTAATTTATATTTAATTTGAGACAAACATTCAAGGTCTCTAAATGTCATTATAGGTTATAAAATGCTGTCTTTAAAATATTAAACATAACTTTATTTGGATTTGTAACATTAGGAAACATCCCCATTAGAGAAAAAAGGAAATTTATACCTTTTTGAGATTGTTAAAGAACGACATGTTGTTGGTATGCGCGTGTCGGCGGCGCGCGGCGCCTCAGCCGCCAGATGTCATCCTGCGTTGCCTCCCATTCACCTGAAACATGTACAACGACCTAATTAGAAATACCATTTTAAAATTATATATCAATGTAACAGTATTTTTACTAATACGAGCTGTTGCCCGCGACTTTGTCCGCGTGGTATTAGAAAACATACGAACTATATAAATGACAAAAAGCTACGTATCCCTCGGGAACCGGACATTTCTCGGGGATGAAGCTTATCACATGTGTACTCCAGACTTTGTTTTATATCTGTGCCAAATTTCAATAAGATATGTTGTACCGTTGCAGAATGATCAAGTAAACATTAAAAAACTAAATTAATGAATCCCACGGGAACCGTAACTATTCCCAGGATAAAAAGTAGCCTATGTGTTCTTCCAAACTATGCTCTAAACCTGTGCCAAATTTCATGGAGATCCGTTCAGCCGTTTAGTCTACAAACGCTAACAAACATCCATCCATCTAAACTTTCGCATTTATAATATTAGGAAGGTAATAAAGCGTAAGCACACACTACTTCGTAGCATAAGATGTACAATCACAGCATATCATACTAATATTATAAATGCGAAAGTTTAGATCGATATATTGATGTTTGTTAGAACTTGTAGCCTTAGCTGAACGGATCATGATAAAATTTGGCATAGATGTCGAGAATACTCTTGAAGTACACATAGGCTACTTTTTTTTATCCCACGTGGACGTAATCGCGGGCGAAAGCTAGCTATAAAATAAAACTGATAATGTACATAATGCCTACACCCTAATAACCTAGGATGAAGATGTTTTAAGAAAAAAGTACCAGGATAACATAAAACAACAGGAGTTCGCCAAAAACACAAAAAGAATCTACACAACTCAGAGAGAAGCACCCACTTGTTAAAACGTAATACCTAACCTTGTATTACGTCCTTGCCGAGATAAGGAGGACGTTTCAAGGATTACCAACTCTACAACTATACCTTAAGGTCTATTGTCGTCTGTCAAATGATTCGAGTTTCGGAGGAAATAAATCGCGCAAATATTCTCGGAGTTTTACGCGTGGTACAAGTTATAAGTGATTCGAGGTTAAACAAACAAGTTCTAAATATATTGATTTTTTTTAAATTGAATAATGACAATGATTTTAATTTCATAAATTTTATAAACTAAGCAGAATAACAGTTGCAACAAAGATTCCCACATTTGTTTTGTATTTCAATCGTTTGCAAAAGCAGTGACTGTGATTCATTGAATAATTGTTTTGTTTAGTAAGAATTGTAAAGTTTTCAATACATTTGTTTTATTTTCATATTTTACTAACGAAATAAATAACTGGCCTAAGATACACTGAGTGGCAATTTAAACTTAGCGAGTAACTGCCACAATCAATTGTTCAATGTTGAATCATCAATGTTTTATACTCCTTCTGGGATGAGAATTTATTGACTGCTTCCATGAGCAAGAGAGCAGCCTATTTTTACAATTAAATTCTATTCATTGCCAAAAATCTTAATGTTCAATAAATTTAAGTTTAGCAATGTCTTCATTCATTTTTCTCAGAGGGATCATCTTGATAATTTAAACGCTGTTGCTTATAACTTGTACCATACCATAAAATGAGTCATTAATTGATATTATTATTATCGCGGGCGTGTTTCCGTTGGTGGTGTCAACGAGCCTCGCTATCAAACTACCATTTCCATATCGATTCCGCTCACATTGTATCGTTTAACTACACATATTTAAGATAACGCTACTGAAATTTTTATCTTGCTTATTACTTTATTATTATAAATGCCGAAATTTGAATCAAATTTTTTTTCAGCGCAAAGTCGCGGGCCAAATCTAATTCGTGACGATGGTCGTCATGGTCTTGTGTTTAGATTCACAATCGATTCGATAGATGGCGCTGATAATGTTTACCAAGGATGTTTTATTTCTCTTTCTAAACCTATCTGTAAGTTTACAATACAAGCATGTTTTTACAGAGACTATAACGTTTAAGATAATTTCCATGACCAGAGGGTATCTAAAAGTACCAGGAAAACATGACAACCTACGACGTAACACTACGACAGACTTCGTAAATAGATATGATGTCATCGTGACTAAGTCTGAGATCGTATACGTCAGAGGTATGCGTGTATTGTAAAACTGCATTGTCCGTAATCTATACTACTAATATTATAAAGAGGAAAGATTTGTATATTTGTATATATTTGATTCACGCAAAAAATACTGGGAGTGTGTAAAAATTATTTCAATATTATAGTGCAAATGTTAAGATGGATGGATGTTTGTTAGAGTTTGTAGCCTAAACGGCTGAACGGATCTTAATGAAATTTGGCATAGAGGTAAAGGATAGTCTGGAAGAACACATAGGCTACTCACTTTTTTTTTTTTAATGCCATGCGGACGGAATCGCGGGTGAAAGCTAGTAGATTATATTTTGTTTTATTTTTAACTTCATGCGGGCAAAGTCATCAACTACATTATATGATTATAGATCCAACGTGGAGAAGAAAATCAGTGCATATTTTGAACTATCTTATAAAAATATTAACATCTTTTAAGATATATATCTCTTCGACGGATGGGTTTAAAGCAGTATTGACTATGAGATAAAAGCAATAAATAAAATACTTGAATAACAACTAAGATTTAAAAAAACAATTTTTCTAGTATTTTTAATTATCCCGGTTCATCATTAAAACTCATACTTGATTCAATTGAGAGGCTGCGAGCTCCGACAAGTGTAATTAGTACAGTCAGCTTCGTTTGCGGTGTGGATACTTTTTTTAAAATCGTTCCCCTAACATTTTTGTGGGAAAGGGACGTTGAGTGCGGATGGGAACTCCTTATTTCATAATTTATTAATTTTTTCTCATTCAAAAATCTTACCGTTTTCTTTCCAATTTTGTAATAATAATAATATCGCAATTTTGCTTTTTAAAATTACTACATATTAAAAGCGCCTATTGTTCGACTTTTACGTTTATAAAGGAAGTATTCTCAAAGAGCAATATAGAAAATTTAATAAAAATCTATAGCAGTCTATTTTTACAAGTGGGAAATAAATTTGATTGTTGCAGATTAAATATGCTATATTCTGTAACAATTAAAAGATCGCAGTTGCCTACCCTTAATTTACAGAATAGGAAAAGTACAGAAAATATTTCTCCTTCAAATTCATTCCTCGCTCCATGAGTGGCTTTCACAAATTGGTACACCACAAACATAGATGACTGTACATTACATCTGTCTGTACGTTTAATTACTCAAGTACGTCGGGTTAATGAGGGCGAGTCGTGTCAACGCACTATATATGTTTAGTTTGTTGACTTACTATATTATACAACATGGATAGATAGACTCACGTTATATAGTTTTATTTTTACAATACGTACAGCGCCCTTACCCCAAGTAAATTCACCAACAGATCTCTTACATCAAGCATATCTATTGCAATATCTATTACTAGCTGTTCCCGTGCGACTTCATCCGAATGAAATTATGAAACTTTTATTTCATTGTTTACATTTGTCAAATTATCAATTACAAATGTCAAAATGACATGACATGATGACAACCTTGTTTCCTTGACGTTGGCAGTAACTTATGGTCCCTTTTCCACATTAGGATTTTTATCCAAAATATTTACCCCCTATGTTTAATGGCTTTAAAATATATAGCCCAAAGCGTGACGCAAGTGCAGGGCTTTTTATTAAAAGAAAATTTATTATTTATTTATTTTTGGCAACAAAGAAGTGTGTTGCTATGTTCGCGTAAATTAAGAAAAAACAAAAGCAAGTAGCCTCTGTGTTCATCCAGATTATCCTCTATATCTGGTAAATTTAATCGCAATTGGTTCAGCAGTTTAGGCTACACACTTTAACATCTTTAAATTTATAGTATTAGTAAAAGTCATAAACGTGCCTTTCACTACGGAGGGTGGGTGAAGTTATGGTGCTCCAAATACCTCCGTCCTCCGTCATATATGAATTTATTCACTTATAATCTATACTATTATAATAAAACGTAAACACACGCTTCTTTGTTGCCTAAGATGTCAGCAATTACAGCATATGTTTGAATAATCCTTTTTTTAATAAAAAGCCCTAGACTTACGTCACGCTTTAGGCTATATATTTTCACGCCATTAAACTTAAGGGGTAAATATTTTCGATAAAAACATTAATGTGGGAAAAAGACAATAAGTTGCTGCCAACATCAAGAAAATAGATTGCTAAGGTTTGTCATGTCATGTCATTTTGACATTTGTCATTGATAATTTGACAAATGTAAACATTAAAATAAAATTTTCATAATTTCATGGGGATGAAGCCGCACCGGAACAGCTAGAAAATATAAAGTAAATGTTACAAATAACCTTTCCACTAAAATCCAATCGACCGTTAACTCTCGCCAGCAATTCGTATCTAGGGCCTCGAATCACAATGTAGGACAAACTAACCGCGCCTCCAAACACACCGCGCATTCTAACCGTGACCCATCGTTTGCCGAGTACAGTCACGAACTAAAACATGTGTTACAAAGTAGGACAAGTGCAAGGTGGGGTAAATTGATATAGGTCGAACTTGATATTATAGACTGATAAACTTTTTTGACCCGGTAGACTGTAGCTATCTGGCACGATAGACAGTAAAACTAAAGACAATATCTAAAATTGGCCCTGAAAATATTAAGAACATTACAACTTGCTTTCGTTCTTGTCAATTTACAAACCTTAGTAGGTTCGAGTCTATTAGAGGAAGTTTGAGAGTAACCCCAGTGGTAGAGAAGGTAAGGAGTAAAAGGTTATCATGGGGGCATGTTATGAGGAGGGATGTAACGCATGTTACAAGAAGGACGTTAGTTTTAAGTATGGAAATGTACACCGGTAGCAGTAGACATAGAAAGAGATGGATATTGTGAAAGGTAACATGATCAAGAAAGGAGTGACTGAGATGTATGATATAGTTATGTGGAGGACAAAAACCTGTTGCGAAAAAGAAGATAATGAGTAGGTTTTACTTTTGTCAGATGT